CAAGGGTTTTCAAGTTTGATGGAAAGCCACTGGAGGTTTTGAACTAGGAAGTGACTTGATCTGATTACCTGACGAGGAGAAAAAAATCATAAGGGGCAAGAGGAAAGACAGGGAGATCAGTTAGGCCTCCACGGGAGAGTCCAGTGGTGGCTACAGCACGTGTTGGCGGAGGTGGTGAGAGGTGGTTTGGTTTAGACGACGGTCTTTAGAAAGAGCGGGAGGATTTGTTGGGGAACTGGATAAAGGGTGTGAGAGACCAAAGCCAAGAGTGACCTTATGTTTCTGCCCCTGGGTCAATGAATGGTGCTGTCACTCATTGGGGAATGCTTAGGCTTCAGGGGTAAAATTGGAAATTTGTTTTTTGATGTCTTAAATTCCAGATGTCTGTTATTAGATTTCAATTGGTCGTGTCAAGTTGACTGTTGAATACACCCATTTGGAGGTCAGTGGGGAATTATGGAAAACAACATGTGAAGTAATCCCTTATAGATAGAAACATTGCAGTTCTGCCTATTCGTATGTATTAATTCAGCAAATATTTATTGAACACCTACTGTGCTGGATGCCGCAGTGAGGTACAACATAGATTCAGACAGAAAGTCACAGCCTTCATGAAGTTTTACCAGAATTTAATTAGTTTACTGGTTTCAGAGACACTTCTCTGAGTCCTGTGTAAGTATATAGAATCAACTCTTAAGCAGTATAAATACTGAGATGTTCTCTGACTCAGCAATTTGGAAGAGCTTAGATTTTTTTGGGAAGAGCTATATATAGGTTTGGACAAATGACAGCTTTACCAATAAGATATCTGAAGACTACCTTAAAAATGAATCAGAAGAGACTGTCTCAAATTAATGTTTATGATGAGTCAACTTAGTGTAATGGAAAAGCTCACAGGGCTGGAAGGCAAAAGATGTGAGTCTCAAGTCTGTTCTGCCCTGACCAGGTCACATGTATGACCTTGACTGACTCCTTTGCTCATCTGTGCTTCAGTTTTCTCTTCAATAAAATGGACCTGTCGAATTTGATGTCTTATAAAGAGTTTTCAAGCTACTAATTTTTTTGCATTATTTCTTTTCCTGATATGACAGTTATTTAAAAGAAAAAAGCCCAAACACCCAAGGGGATTCTTCTCTGAAAGGCTCATGTTTCAAAGCAAAAGAAAGTCTTGTTTTCTTTTCTTTTTTTTTTGAGTTGGAGTCTCACTCTGTCGCCCTGGCGATCCTTCCACCTCAGCCTTCCAAGTAGCTGGAACTACAAGCACGCGCTACCACACCTGGCTAATTTTTGATTTATTGTAGAGATGAGGTCTCACCAAGTTGCCCAGGTGGGTCTTGAACCCGTGGGCTCATGCAATCCACTCACCTCAGCCTCCCAAGGCACGGGATTACAGGCTGAGCCACCGAGCCTGGCTAGCCTTCTTTTCTTTTTGCAAGTAGAAATTGCTTGTATTTTTAATGATTGTAAAAAGGATACATGATCAGTGTGGAAAATTACTATTGAGATAACTATGTCTGCTTCTCCCATCATTGTATCTGTAGCATGTACCATAAAGCAGGTGCTTTACAAAACATTTGTTGAATGAATAATTACTATTACTATCTTTCAAACATTCTTTCTGGTCTTTAGACCAGAAGAAAAAAAATCCTTTCTCTGAAAGCTGTTTCAGCTCTAAGCCAGAAGAGCTCAGTATAGTCACCAGAAACTGAAACTGCCAAGTCAATATTGGATCTCTTAGATCACGTGTTTCATAACGCAGCTGATATCTGATACCAGGGAATGGAATGCAGGGAAGCAATAACATGAAATACACCATTCTGATGGTCACAAATAATCAAGGGAGGCTCAGCTGGAGCAATATCAAGAAAGACTGCAAAACAGTCCACGGTCCTTGGCTCAAGCAGGAGTGGCTCCTACGTTGGGAGTAGGTTCTTCCTACTGAATCCTTTCTCCCACGCTTGGGCCCTCTTTCTTTCCCATGGCACTGGGAGGAGCTTTCCTGGGGCACTTGAATCCTAGTCAACGCTTTTTATTGGGGACCTAACACCCCTTTGACTGTCAATTATCTTTTCAATAAATAAGATGGTTTCCTGATGACTTCGGAATATGAATTCAAGCCAGATATGGTCTGAAGACTCATGCTACTTTGCCCCCCCACAAATGGAACTAGTTGTTAATGTTGAAAAAATGCGATATTCAACAACTAAATCTGAATTTTCCAAAACTCTTGAAAAACTGTCAGATACGGCACCATTGGGCCCTCATCCCACAGAATGAGCTGGAGCTGAGGGGCATGTGATTAGCTCCCACAATACTACAATACAACCCCCTCAAATTTCTGACATCCCATTGTTTGCTTTGCTCATTTACTTGATTTGCTTCCTCTAACTAATTATGTAAAATATTCTGGGGGCACCTACTAAGCACCAGGCACCTTGTAAGCCCTGGGAACATGGATGGATGCAACACAGCTCCTACCCTGGAGGACCTCACAGTCCAGCAGGGGAACAGACTTATACACCAGTAAATTACAATGCAGTGTGGTAAATACAGCACAGAAGGCAGGGACACAGCACAGGAGGCTGGCCCACTGGTTGAAGATTTCCTGAATGTCATGTCTGAGCTGGTGTTGAAGGATGAATAAGAGCTCACCAGGCAGATAGAGTGGTGGGGAATACTGGAAACAGCGAGGCTGTGTTAAAAGTGTATACAAGGTCTTCTACTGATTAGCTGCCTGTTGCACAGGTGATCCTCTCATACCAGTAACTGCCTTTCTTCTGATTGACATTGTGAGCCTCTGTCCAGGTCATCCCATTCCTTCCTTCTGTCAAAACAACAGAAAGGCTCACTTCTACCAGGAAGAGGCTAGCTGACTAATCCTGCTCACCTCCAGTTATTTCAACAAAGGCAACCCTCCCATTCTGGATAATTGGTTACTCAGCTGTGATTCTGTTATAAGAGCTCTTTGCTTTGTTTTGGAACCTCTGATATTTGAAGAATAGACCAGTACTCCTAGCAATTTAATCAATAAGTATTTGTCAAATATCTATATGAACTCTCTCTGTCATATGTATCATATGTTGACACCAACAACACCCCAGTTGAGAAAAAAGACAAATACAAATGAACTAAGAACAGAAAATATAATTCAGAAAGCTTATTAGGTGCCTAGTATTCAGTTTTTTAATACATCCATCCATTCAACATTCAGTGAGATCTACTATGTGCCAAGCACTATGTTTGGCACCTGGAAATCATGCCAAGATGCAGTAACCATATAAGCTAGCAGGTGAAATATATAAAGAAACTCATTACAGTAAGTTTCCTGCCAGAGCAATGTTCAAAGTACAGCTTGGAGAAAGGAGTGTTGATTGCTCCCAGGGATGCTGGGCCATTATCAGGGGGAAGATAAGCTTGAGCTGTTTATCTTGTGTTGTTATTTTTTACTATGACATTTTTCAACATGCACAAAAGTATAGAGACCAGTACAACAAATTTCCACATCCTGTACCTGGCTTTAACAATGAGTAACTTGTGGTCACTTTTCACTCATCTGTACTCCCACCTGCTTCCCCCATCCCTTGGTTTCTTTTGAAGCAAATCCTAGACATTTTTATTACGGCATCCATGAATACAGAGTTACGTTTGAAGGAGGAAGTAGAAATGCATGACTCTTTCAGTACTAATATCCTACCCCCACTCCTTTCACTTTTTTTGCTGCCCAAAAGCAGTTATATACTGATTCCTGTCAGTGACCCCAAGCCTTGGTTGGCTCAGGGTAAAGACCCAAGACTTCACTGGATCCTGAGTTGACCGAAGGAAGACTGAGCTGATGTGGTGAAAACTCCATCCTGACCACATTCTTCTTATCCTTGGTCCTCATAAAACTGAGAATTATTTGGAGGCTTACTGAGCACTGAATGTTTGCATAAAATAGTAGCTACATTCCACACTCCCATGTACCCTCAGCAACCTTCAGAGAGTATGAGACTTGTCCTGCTGGCTGGGCTGACCCAGGGTTGCTTCTTGTCACTGCTTTGATCTTCACTGGGTTGGGAGCCTAGTTGGATCTGAACATCTGGCTTCTCCACTGCCCATCCCTTCAGCATTTTCTCTCTCTTCTTGAAAAGTACCAACATTCACGCAGTTAGTAACTCAACCCAGGACATTTCTCCTTGACCTCACTCCCTTATAATTCTGTCTACTCTTTTAAAGCAATCCACTATAGTCCACCTACGCCATCACCCTTCCATCCAGGCCACCATTCCCCTCTATCAAGCACTGCAACAGCTTAAGTATCTCTCTGCTAAAGCACCACATTCCCCACCTCGTTCTCTACGCAGCAGCTGAGTGATCTTTATAAAACCTCTGCTTAAAACCGTTCCATTGTTCTTAACACCTACTGGATCAAGACCAACCTCCTTAGCACAGCCAAGGTGGCCTTGCAAAAATGCAAGACCTCCCGCATACTTTCCGTTATGTCTCCTCCCTAGCCCGCAACCCAAACAGCTTTTCAGGGTCTGTTTTCTCGGGTCCGTGTGGTCTCACCGGGCCAGCTTCTTTTCCCTCATAAATAATGAAAGTGACACCTACTAAGCCCTTGCTAACTAACATGCGTTATCTCCTACGAGTCCACAACAACACTAAGACGTCGTTTTCATTTTGCACTTGGGGAAACTGAGGATGGGCACCTTACATGGGCCACACAGCTAGTAAGTGGAAGAGCTGAGACTAGGGTTCAAATTCGAAGCTCCAGAGGCCACGAGCTTAACTAGAGTCCCAGCCTGCTCGCATATCCTTCCATCGCGGCAACCACCGCTCTCAGCGGTCTACGCCTCCCCACTGCACCGGGGATGCTTCGGCGCCTGGGAGGGCGCGTCGCCTGGAGGAAGAAGGCTTCTGATTGGCCGCCTGCAGCGAAGAAGGGCGGTGGGGGGCGGAGCGAGAGTGCGGGGGCGTCGCGGAGAAATGACGCAACGCGACGGCTCCTTAAAGGCGCCGGCCAAGCGCGCGGCGGATGGCGCAGGCGCGTTCCGGGGTTTCCAGCTTCTGCTCTGAGCGCCGAGAGCCTGGTCGCGCGGGCGCGCGAGCGGAGTGTGCTAACGGGACGCGCGCCGGACGCGGGCGGCACGAGGGGTCCGGCCGGGCGGCGTCGGGAGACCCGCCGGCCGCGGAGCGGGCCCCGCGATGGCCGAGGGCAGCGCCGTGTCCGACCCTCAGCACGCCGCGCGCCTGCTGCGGGCGCTCAGCTCTTTCCGCGAGGAGTCCCGCTTCTGCGACGCGCACCTGGTCCTCGACGGGGAGGAGATCCCGGTGCAGAAGAACATCCTGGCGGCGGCCAGCCCGTACATCAGGTGAGGAGGGGGCCGCGCTGCCCAGAGCTCAGGGGCGGGGCGAGACGGGTGTGTCCCCGGAGTCCTAGGTCCCCAGCCCCCCACGACCGCCGGGGTCCCCCACGTTACCGCTCGGCGCGGCGTCCCTCTCGGCAGACACCTCGAGCCAGGCCCCGCGTGCCGCGGTCCCCCAGGGCAGTCCCCGTGGCTTCCAGGCCCGGCTCGTCACGAGACCCCCGCGCCTCTCGGAGTTGTCCCCCGGCCGCCATCCCTCCGCCCTCTCTCCTCCCAGTTCCCACCGCCGCGGCGACAGCCCGGGCCTCCGAGGCCCCCCAGACGCCGTCCTGGGTCGGCCCGGGACCCGAACTCGCGAGCTAGGCGGGGCCTTGCCCAGGGAGAGCCGCCCCCTCTCCCCGGCCCAGCCCCGCTGAAGTTCACCTCCGAATCTACGCGCGGCGGGCCGGGCGCGGCGCCGCCAACCCTCCTGGGAGTGCCCCTCCCCGCGGCGAGGCCACACAGCACCTCCTCGCGGGTGTGGGCGGAGAGAAAGCCGTCTTGGGTCTCCTTGGGATAAGTGAGCCGACCCCCAAGGCCCCCGGTCACACATGACTTTTCCGCTCTCGTGTGAGGGTTGCATTATAGACACACGTTTAAGTAAGCTGTAGCGAATTTTAACAGACTTGCTGCAATCCTCAGGATGCAGTCACAAGCCGAGGACTGTGAAATCCTACCGACTAAAGGGCCTTTTAAAACTTCAGTAAAACAAAGCTTAACCTGATTTGCCAGCTCGACCAACCAGGTTAATTAAAAGGTTATTAAGACAGTGCTTATACCAGTGTATCAGATCTTGCAGGAGGCTGCTGTATTTTCTTTTAGCAACTTTCTTGCAATCTAGGTTGCTCTTTTAATACAAGGGGGAAAATGCTAAAAGCTAGAGAATTTGCCCAGTAAGGTGGTTAAATATAGACTAATAATGACAGAGAATGCCACTAGAATTGACAGGTCAGAAAAAGCAAAATCATGTATACTGTATTCTTAATGCTTTGTCCCAGCAGAGCTCAGCACACAAACCACACTTTAACCTTGTGTGGGGAGAAGTGCTAACTTAGAAGCGGTTCAAGAACTCTGGTAGGGATTGTAGCTAGCAGCTTCTGGCTTCTCCTGGCTCTCTTTTGTAAATCAATTTGCACTCTTCCTTTGTGGACTTAAGGAGGGGGAAATCTTTGTTAGTATGGAGTTTAGATTGCCAAATATGACAGACGTCATAACTGGCAGCTGAGAGGTTTGAACAATCAATTTCAAACTGGAATCAGCAAACCCAAGTCTGCCCTGTTTGGGGAGATGGTTAGGAAAATTACATTAGATGCATTACTGTTGTAGTTCTTTAAATGGCGACCAGTTGGCTCAAAAGAAGTAAATTGTGGATCACCAAACATATGCTGTCTATTCATTTTTCTCCATAGCACTTAGTATTATAATATTCCCCATATTTTACTCATTTACTTTGTTGCTTTCCCAGCCACAAAATAGAGTGATTTTTCTTTTGTTTCCTGCTTTCCCCTCTCACCCTGAAAGAACAGTGCCTGTTATTTTAGCAAGTATTGAACGAATGCCTTCCTGCCTGCTTGCCTGCCTTTCTATCACAGCAGATTTGGACATTAGGGATTGGCTCCATTACGTTTCCATGATAGACACTCAGTTTCACCTAATTGAGAAGAGCACTGGACTCAGAGCTTGAAGACCTGCTTACTTCTTCCAGCTTTGACTCGTATTAGTTGTGAGTTGCTAGTGGATGACTTTTCTTGGCTTCAGCTCACTAGTCTGACAAATAAGGGATAAAATATGCCCACATTTCATTTAATCTTTGATCCATTTAAAAGAAATCTGTAATAATGTTTGGAACACCTCATGAGTCTGTTCACAGGTCTACAAAGATAGTACCCATTGAATTAGGGAACTCTAGTCCAATTCTTTCACTTTCTAAGAAATTGGGGGCTTAGTAGGTGTGAGTGACTTGTGTTCTGAGGTTACTAGTACTTACTGGTTGAACTAGGATTAGCCCCAGGTTAGTGGTGCCTAGTCACCTACTCTTACCATACCAAGTGACAGTGTTGCTTGCATTTCACTGTTCTTTGTGTAAACTCTATTGCTAGCTGGGTTATAATACAATTTAAAAGTTTATCAAGCACTTTCACGTACTGTCTCATTTTGACTTTCATTTTCAACCATCTTGTGCAGTTGGTAGGACAGATATTTTTTGACATTTTATGGATAAGCATGAATCAATCAATACGTATTTCTTCAGTGATGGATTAATTGCTTTAAGTTTATGTGACTGTTGAAGTGGTAGAAGGTCTTGGGGTTTTGGTACAGTTACCCATTTCAAATTTGACTAACCTATATTGCTACCTAGGAGCAAATAAACTGGCTAGTGATTTTTAATATCAATACCATTGAGCTTTTAACATGTATGGCGTTTTGTTTGGACAACACTTTAGAGAATTATATTGAAATGGATTTATATTCTAGAACTTGATGTTTCTTATTTTTCCCTTTTATGGCTTGAGCATTTAGATTTTATTTATTAATACATAAATTGGGTGTTTAAAACATTTGGCAACTTCTGAAGTTTTATAAAAATCTGATCTCGTTTAATGTCTGTAGTTAGCTTTGTTTGGTAACTGTTAGAAGTGGTCTGTGGTTGTGTGGCTTAGAAGCAATGATATATCACTTCCTGTGAGCCCAGCAAAGGGAGCCAGTTCAACTTTGTCATGCTTTGGAATTAAAGCAACTCATTTGGTATGCTTACTACTTAATATAGAAAAGTCTTTTAACCTAACTTGTTGGCTTAACCTTTTCCTGAGCTTTTCTTTGGTCTAGCATTTGTTTTCCTTCCTAGACTTAGCAATCGTACCACATTAGGAAGGCTTACACTATAGAAAGAGAAAGCCAGAAAACTCAGCTTCAGCAGCAAAGCCTTCATGATTAGCTAAAAGAGGTCTGACATTTCTGGGTTGTGTAGAGTATGCATCCTGCAGTCCTGCAGCCTTAGGGGACAGGTGCCCCAGGAAGGAGTCTGGGCCTCTATGGTCTCATTCAGCTCAATAGGTGCGATGCCGCTCCCTTTTCTCAAAGATTTCCCTCATTCTGATCTCTGGATGGCATTCTTTTATTTGGTTTGTTGAGAAAATTAAGTCTAAAAGTAGCCGACAGCCTTTAAAAATGATGAAACTCAATTCATGCATACAACGACCCAGAGTCTCTCCTTTCTCAGCAACCCTGAGACCTTCTGGGAAAAGCTCCCTGAGGCTAATAGGAAATTTCCCTTTCTTTTGACTATTGCAGTTTGCTTTGCTTAGTGTCGGAGGCTCTTCTGATTCTGGCACAGTCCCATCGATCTGATGCAAAGTTCAGACCCATTTCTCTCCTGAGCTGTGGTTCTTGGGGAGTGATATATGTGAAAGGGTTGAAAGTGATCACTGTGTGCTGCTGCAGGGACATTATGGTGACTCTCTGCGGGTTCCCAGTCCTGTGCTCACTTGTGAAGTTGAGGTTTTTCTAGGGACCTACAGCAACATTATTAGCTTGTTTAGCTTTCAGGTCTGAAGAATTAAAGGAAGGAAAGATTCGGAAGATTTTTAGATCCTTGATGAGTCAGCTAAGGAGTAAATGGCTGTTTTTGTTTTTATTTTTTGAGAGGAAGCTGATCTAGTGAGCATGGAGTGAGATACTGGGCCTTGAATCCAGCCTAGGTCATCTTGGACAACTTTACTGGGACCTAGTTTTCTTATCTGTGAAGTGAGGTTTGGTTGGGTTACATGAACAGCAAATCCCCTTTAAGTCCGGATTCAGCTGCTCTCTACTGTTTTTGTTTTTCTTTGTGTGTGTGGGTGAAGGAAGGAGGATCTGCTTCTGTTCTTATAGCTCTATTGTATCATTCAAAGTTTTGTCATGAAATGTTATAGCATTTCCCTTCTCCTGTCATACAGGACTTGGTTGGGTGTACTGCTGTATAAATCCAGCCCTGTAGAGTTCTGTTGTAACAAGCATTTATTTTCTGCTGTTAATCTGGGTATGTTCCAAGGCCTAATTATTGATGAGCCTGTTTGCCATTTAAATCTAAAATTTGACTCATAGATGATGCTGGTGAAACTACTTAAGGAGACTTACATGCTCTCTGTAGGAGGTCCAAGTTTTGTAGTAACATGGAAATTGTCATTACCCTTGTTTTGGACAACTGAAATTTGCACTGCAGTTTATTGTCACGTGGACACTGAAGTCCATGAGTATCATGTGCTATGGGCAGAGCAGGCTCTCAGTTCCCAGTCGCCTTTTCTTGATTCATTTGTATGAATAACTGAACAACCCTTTATCAGATTCTTTGCTTGCTTGTTAATGCTGAGGATACATGACTGAGGCAGCAGCATCCTCTACGTACTGCCTGATAAAGAAGAAAGTCCAGCCGGAAAGCAGTGTGATTTCAGAGTCATGCTCAGTTAATATCATGCTTTCTTTATGTATTTTTATACTTTTTTTCTACTTGTGCTTTGAGTTTATCGTCTTTCATATCTATAGCACCTCCAGAATGATTGCCATAAGGATTTTGAATAGTGATTATAGCCTGTAAAGTTCTTAGTGTGAAGTTTCTTGAAGCTGCAATTTCTGAGTCTTTTATTGAACCTTGCACATTCTTGAGATCACAGTGACTATACCTGTTTCTTGTCATACTCTCATGGTGATGGAAAGTCAGTTGGGCCTGAATATCTTTTAATGGACCTAGGCCTTGTATGTTTTTTATCTACCTACTATAAGGCATCCCTAACAACTGCTTAACAGATGAAATCTGTCCTGAAAGTCTTATGGCTAAATGGTTTAAAATGATTTCCTTTTCTTTGGTCTTATTATGTAGTTGCAATCTTGTTTGATTAAACCTCATTTTTATTGAGTTTTTTAAAAATGACATTAAAGTTCATTCAGTTTTAGATCAAAGAAGTGTTTTGTCTAGGCTTCTAAGAAAACGA